AAGGTGTTTTAAACCCTTCCCACACTTTTGCAATATTCTAAACAATGTTTCTAAACTAAACATTGTCCATGCCCACTTCTCAGCTCTGCACGGAGAACAGCTGATCAGCTGCAGCAGGAAATTTATCCTGCAATATGGGCTGCACAAAGTTGCAGCAGGTGCTAAATAATTTAAAATAAATTATTTTAAATAAAAATTCCATGCCGATCGTGCGGCTCATCCATCAATCAGTCAATTGTGTGTCATGGTCAATCTCAGATAGAGCGAGTCCACGATAAATGAAGCGCAAAGTAGCGAGAGACTTCTGTACTTATATTTTTGTTTAAACCTGTGGTTGTTTTCCTTTATGAGGAGAATCCTTTAACCCTGACCTTGACTTTTAAAGGAATCCACTGGACTCAGACGTGCGAAAGCTGCAGCGAGGTTACATAATGAAGTTTTTATGTTCACCAGTTGCCCCCTCATGGAAGAATTATTAAAGAAAGTCAATGAAGTGAAGTGTGTGGCCATCGTTCATCCTGCAGATCAATGAATTACTTCTTAGTGAGGATTGTGTGTGTGCTACAGCTCAACAGTGTGGAACGACTTAACACTTCATTACTGTGCTGGATGGCCCTGCTATTTTGAACTTTTTTAAAACTGAGTGGTGAATTTGCTTTGAAATCACTGAGGCGTGTCTGAAGGTCAAAGGGGTCAAAGTGGACTGATTATTATCACCTGATGGCAAAGAGGTGATAATGTGTATGTGTGTATTTGTCTGCCTCTAGGATTAGCAAAACATCTAAAAACCATGGGACAAGTTTTAATGGAAAGTAATATTTGGATGCACATCTACAATTTATTTTGTGAATGATTATGAAACATTCACACTATTGTGATCCATTTTTCTTCTGTACATTTTTCAGCGTGATTCTTGTCCCGCAGTCTTCAAGCTACTTCAACAAATCATATCAAAACATTTAAGTTAATTCATGAAACTCCTGCTATGTCTTTTGGTATTGGCGCAACTTTAGCTTTTTGAAATATTTTGCCCTTTCTTCCATTTTTTCCCCCTCATAGTAAATGGATAGTTTAAGCTTCTTTCTGCCTTTTTAGCTACTTTTCAGCAGTTTTTTTTTCTTCTCATTTCAGCTTTTTTTTTTTTTAAATAGAATTTCCACTCTTTGTGCTCATTTCTGCTTCTTTAAGCCTAACTGATCACTATTGTGCTCGCTCCACTTCCCTCTGCTACTTCTTCTTCTATCTTTTAGCTGCTTTTGAGCATTTTTTTTCTAATTTCAGCTTTTTAAAGATAATTTCCACTTTTTTGTGCTCATTTCTGCTTCTTCAAGCCTAAATTGCCAGATGTGTTATTTCAACTTTCTTCTGCTAATTTAAGCTTGTTCTACTTTTTCAGTTACATTTTGATAATTTTTTAGCTAAGTTTTGCTGTTTTCAGAAAAAAAAAAATCATGTTTTTCATGGTACTTTCTGCTACTTTCAGTCTAATTTAATTTCTTTCTGCTAATTTCAGCTTATTATGCTCCTTTCATCTTAATTATGCTAGTTTCAACTATTTCAGCTACTATTTAGCTGTTTTATGCTAAATTCAGGTTTTTCAGCTAATTCCACATTTCTGATCTGATTTCAGCTTTTTCCATTTACTTCTGGTAGTTTAAGTTTCTTTCTGGTTTTTTTTTAGCTACTTTTCAGCTGGTTTTTGCACATTTCATCTTTTTTCCAGACAATTTCCACTTTTTGTGCTCATTTCTGCTTCTTTCAGCAAATGTGTTCTTTCTGCTCTCTTCTTCTAATTGAAACTTGTTCTACTTTTTCAGCTACATTTTTTAAACTTCTTTAGCTAACTTTAGCTGTTTTCAGAAAAAATTAAATTTTGCATGGTAATCTCTGTTACTTTCAGCCTAATTAACTTTGTTCTGCCAATTTTAGCTTGTTATGCTCCTTTCAGCTTTTTCTGCTAGTTTCAGCTTTTTCTGCCATTTCAGCTACTTCTTTGCTGTTTCTGTGCAAAATGTAGTTTATTTCAGTTACAGTAATTCCACATTTCTAATTTCAGCTCCTTCCTTTTCCTTCTGGTAGTTAAAACTTCTTTCTGCCTTTTCAGCTACTTTTCAGATATTTTCGGCCAATTTCAGCATTTTTAGCAAATTTTCCTATTTTTCTGCTTATTTAAACCTAATTCAGCAAATATGTGTTCTTTCTGCTTTCTTCTGCTAATTTAGGCTTGTTCTTCATTTCAGCTACATTTCAGCATGTTTTTAGCTAATTTCAGCTGTTTTTCAGCAAGTTCTTCAACAATAAGCATTCACACTGCATTTTTGCAGGAAATGCAATTTCTCTAGTTAAAGATAGGAGTCAACACTTTTCAAGCTGTCTACCATAGCTTTATCAAACACAAAAGGGAGTGTACCTCAGCTATTTTTACAGATGTTGTAGTAGCTGACAGTCGTTCTCAATACGTTGTCTGAGCTCTAACAGATTTTGTGAAATCTCACAATATTGCATGATATTTCACATTTCATTTACAAGGTTGAGCCAAAATAGCTCTAACTTTGTCCCTTCTCAGCAAGAAACACTTTTAGTTTGAAACTCTGACCTAAAAGGCGATGAGTGAAATGCAGTAATTTCAAGGCATGCTAGACTTTTATTATCCCAATATATTTTCATGCTCTTTTCATGTCACATTTGAATGTTTGTCCACCTTTTTCCACTTTACATTAGTTTTTATTTATTTATTTATTTATTTATTTTGCTAATTCAGCCACACTTTGTGCAGAACCATTTTCCCATGACAGCAGATCATGTAATGCCTTTGACATTTTCAGAGTAAAAGTTGTTGTGCAGGTTCTTTTTCGAAGACCTTTGGAGAGTGGCGTCTCCAACCTGGCCCAATTTTGGAGCAAACATCTCTTTCTATATTTGGATGCTTTTGAACTGTCTGTTTGAAAGCTCTGCCACTGCTGCAATTTCTACCGATTGAATTTTCCCCATGAGTGGTCAGAAGTATTTTCATTTTCTGACGTGATTTGTTTGAGGGGTTGCTTATTTGGTGCATAAACAGTTATGACCATCCCCTTCTCTATCCACATGCTGGGTTCTACTTCAGCAATTATGCAATGAACACACAAAGCAACATCTTGTAGTTCGTTCACATCAGCCCCCAGTGGTTCCAGCATCGAGTAATTTTGTCTTTTTGTCTTTTTAGCAATGGAGGAGCTGGATGGAGATGAGGTGCGAGTTTCCTCCAGAGGACGTCTAGCTGAGAGAGACATTGTTCAGGTACTCCTCATGATTCTATGTAAGTTTGCAGGTTAGACTCAAGCGCTTCTCCAGCACAGGAGATATATTCCCAGGGAAGGACGGGTCATGTTTTCACACTCACAAGCACACAGTGGAGACTTGTCAGCCAAGAAGAAACAAACAGGCACATATTAGAGTTTACTTTTGCTCACAGCTGGAACATCCATGCTTAAAAAAAAAGTCAGTGGCTTATTTTAACCTGAAATTTTTCTCACATACAGGTACAGACTATTTGGAATAAGGTTGTAACATCATAACAAAATGTGGGGAAAAAGTGAAGCGCAGTGAATACTGTGAAAATGTGAAATTGCATTTCCTGTGAAAATGCAGTGTGAATGCTTATTGCTGAAGAACTTGCTGAAAACAGCTGAAATTAGCTAAAAAATGCTTAATTGTAGCTGAAATGAAAGAAGAAGCCTTAATTAGCAGAAGAAAGCAGAAATAACACATTTTTGCTGAACTGAGTATAAATTAGCAGAAATTAGCACAAAAATTAGGAAAATAGCTAAAAACAGCTAAAATTAGCACAAAAAAGGCTGAACAGTAGCTGAAAAGGCAGAAAGAAACTTAACCTACCAGAAGGAAGCAGAAAGAGCTGAAATTAGCTAAAAAAGTGAAATTAGCTGAAAAGTTTAAAATTAGCATAAAACAGCTAAATAGTAGCTGAAATAGCAGAAAAAGCTGAAACTATCAAAAAAAACAAGATGAAAGGAGCATAACCAGCTGAAGTTACCATAAATATGTTAATCAGATTGAAAGTAGCAAAAATTACCATGAAAAACTTGAATTTATCTGAAAACAGCTGAAATTAGCTAAGAAATGCTTAAAATGTAGCTGAAAATATAGAACAAGCTTAAATTAGCAGAAGAAAGCAGAAAGGACACGTTTGCCAAATTTTGCTGCAAGAATCAGATATGAGCACAAAAAGTGGAAATTATCTGGAAAAAGCAGAAATTAGCAAAAAAAAAAAAATAGCTGAAAAGCAGCAAAAATATCAGAAATATTCTTAAATTAGCAGAAGGAAGTGGAGAGAGTTTGCAGAATTAGGCTGAAAAAAGTTGAAATGAGTGCCAAAAACGTGGAATTAACAGAAAAATCTCAAATTAGCATAAAACAGTTAAGTAGTAGCTGAAATAGCAGAAAAAGCTAAACCTTGCAGAAAGAATCTGAAAGGAGCACAAAACACCTGAAAAAATAACTGAAATTAGCTGAAACAAAGTTAAAATTTGTACAAGGAAGCTGAAAGGTCAAGGATCTTTATTTTCATTCGCATCACATGTGCTACATGTAGTACATGTGGTACATGTTGTACATGTGGTACATGTGGTACATGTAGTACATGTGGTACTTTGTACATGTAGTACATGTGGTAGAAAGAACAAATTTATAAAATGTAAAAGAAAAACAGTAATAAGACCTAAAATATGAACTAAGAAATTTGCTAAACTAATAATGCACTAAGCACTAACAGTACAAAAACAATACGCTGAACAACAGCAGCACGAACATGAACCCGTGTGAGCAGATGAGTATGAATGAACACAGCAGCATGGAATAAATCAGCAGCATGAGATCAGCATCATTGATAGTCAACAATCAAGTGGCATTACAGTGATTTTTTTTTTCCCCACAGTGATAATCCTGATTAGGGATTCATGAGTCTAACAGCTTCAGGGTAGAAGCTGTTCCTCAGTCTAGTGGAAAGAAGCTGAACCAGAACAAAACGTGAAAGGAGCAGTAAAAGGTCATAAACAGATCTGAATCTTTGAAGGATGTAAAATGATCTCAATTCATTTTCTATGAGGAAAAAATGGCAGAAAATTTTTAACGTTATATATGCTTATATACAAGCGTGGCCTATATATGTACAAATTTGTATTTATTTATTTTTATTTGGTGGGCACGGCTTATATTCTGGTGCACTCGATAGTACGGAAATTACGGCAAGTCTGACAAATGGCTACTATGACATGTAACACTTTTGGATTTTGGGCTACAGGTTACTACTGCTAACGCTGCTTACACTTTGAACAATATAATTCTGTGTAAATAATCATACAGTGAGTTCAAAGGTGATAGTGTTGTAAAGGTGCATAGAATAGCTTTAGCTTGAACCCAAATAGGATGGTGTACCAAAAGGATTGATGAATCGGGGCTTTTTCTGCAGAAATGAGAGCATTCAGTCCTCCTGGATGTAAACTCTGCTTTGCCAAACTTGTCAATCAAGAAGCAATCTACAAATAGTAAGATTTTAATTACTTGTAACTTTTACACAGAAACCCACTTCAAATTGATTGAACTATCCCTTTAATTGTTTATAACCTTTCCATAGAGCCCTACTTCAGAAGATCTGAATGGTCCCTTTGAAGCGGCTACAGATCTACCTGGTTCTTCTCTCTAGCAAATTCACCTATGGCTCTCTAGTCTTTATTATGTGAATGTTTAATATGTTACAAAATGCATAGTTTTTGTTTTTCTGGGAAAAAATAAAATAAAATAAAAGTATCATGTTTTGTACTGTGTCATTAATTGTGGGGATTGCAGTTTTCTTTGTTGTTATTGTGGGAATGCTTATGAAGCATTCAAACTATTTTGATCCATTGCTTTTTGAAATATTTAACAGTTTCTCCCTTTTTTTTTCTCATAGGAAATGAATTGAGCTCATTTTACATCCTTCAAATCTTTAGATCTGTTTACAACCTTTTACGGCTCCTTTCAAATTTTGTTCCGGTTCAGCTTCTTTCTGATTTCTTCTGCAAAATTAAACATTTTTTCAGCTGTTTTCATCTAATTTCAGCTGTTTTATGCTCCTTTCAGATTCTGTCTGCTAACTACAACGTGTTTGTGCTTCTTCTTACTTTTTTTCCGGTAATCTCAGCTTGCTATGCTCCTTTCAGTTTATTTCTGATAGTTTCAGTTTTTGCTGTTATTTCAGCTACTACAGTATATAGCTGTTTTTATGCTAATTAGCTTTTTCAACTAATTCCACATTTTTGCACTCATTTCAACTTTTTCAGCCTAATTCAGCAAAAATGAGTTCTCTTAACTTAATTTTTGTAATTTCAGCTTCTTTCTGCCTTTTTAGCTACTTTTCAACAGTTTTTAATTTTTTTTGCAAATTTCCGATTTTTTTTCAGATAATTTCCACCTGTTTGTTCTAATGTTTGCCTCTTTCAGCCTAATTGGGCAAATGTGTTCTTTATGCTTTCTTCTGCTTATTTAAGCTTGTTCTTTGCAGCTACCTTTTTAGCTAATTTTAGCTGTTTTCAGATAAATTCAAGTTTTTAATGGTAATATTTCTTACTTTCAGCCTAATCAACTTCTTTCTGCTAAATTCAGCTTGTTGTGCTCCTTTAAGATTATTTCTGCTAGTTTCAGTTATTTCAGCTACTATTTAGTTGTTATGCTAGTTTAGCTTTTTCAGCAAATCCCACATTTTTTGCAATCATTTCAAGTTTTTTTCAACCTAATTCAGCAAAAATACACTCTCTCTACTTCCATCTGGTAATTTAAACTTCCTTTTGAATTTTCAGCTTGTTTTTTTTTTTTTTGCTCATTTCAGCTTTTAGCTACTTCCCAATTCTTTTGTGCTCATTTCTGCTTATTTAAAACAAATTCAGCAAATGTGTGTTCTTTCTTCTTTTTTCTGCTAACTTAGGCTTGTTCTTACATTTCAGCTACATTTCAGCAGGTTTTAGCTAATTTCAGCTGTTTTTCAGCTATTTCTTCAGCAATAAGCATTCACACCGCATTTCTGCAGGAATTGATTTTCTCTAGCTTATGTAAAGATTGTTCCAAACTCCATGTATTTTTCATCATCCAATAACAGACTATATGCTCTTTGATTACTCCTCTCTTGGCTCATAATGCATTATACATAAATATTTGGATAAACACCTAAAAATACAGTTACGATCAAAAAGTAGAAATGTTTTATTTAGAAGTAACTGTAAACAAAGGCTCTAAAAATGTTAAAATATTGCTTCAGTGTGTTTCCACTAAAAGACACTTCTCCCATTATCAGTTCTGTGCCCAGCTCAGAAAACAGACTTTTGTTCTTGCAGTAAATTTTACTGAGAGCCAATCAGTAACTACATCTGGCAGCGCTTGTTTTATAGAACGTTTTAGAGATATGAGAACATAAACAGGAAGCAAATACAATGGTCCCTGATAACGATGAAGCGTTTAATATTCAGATGGAAGTGGGGAAGACTTCTGTCAGCTTTCAGCGACTAGCGTACGATGATAAATGAGCTCTTGTAGTGATAAATGTTTCACATACTGAGAGGAGGGAAATTAGGATTTCGTATTGTGAACTATAATATCATCCAACCTACCCTGGATGTTTATTGTCAGAACAAATATTCAGCTTTTATTTTGACACTAACGTCGTAGTATACGGCTCATTGTGAAGCCTATTCTGCATACCCCTTCACATGAAGATCTGTATGAACATTAGCAAAAAGCAGCACTGGTCCCACAACAAGTTAATAGTTATTCAAAACATGCGTTTCTGTAAAGCTCTATCGATTTAGGGATCGTATTTTCACAGTCCTGTCCATTAATTCTGTTTATTTAACAGAGATGATCACATTTAATCCTTTGATTGTGTTTAACCCTGGGGCGGGATTTCAAACAGGATGTTTACACGGAAAACAATGCAATCACTTCACGTGTCACGCTTCTTTTTTATTTGTTTAGTTTGATCACTGCTTTCGTTGCAGCGTCACTGACTTTTGACGCCTCCTGCTTCATAAGTTTGACCTGAGCTGATGAAATTCTGCCACGTCTTAGACTGGAAATGTGTACTGAATGTAAAGGTGTGCGAGTTCTGTTACTTATTAGCCTGTTTTCTTGAAAGCAGACGATGTAAACAACATCATTAAGCATTTTAATAGTTATGATTGTCTTTTATTGAGAGCTAAGTGATTGGTTTCAGTATGGATAATTAAATTTAAAAAAACTTTCAGACATGTCTC